GAGAAGCTGGGACTACAGGCATGCGCCACCACATCCTGGTAATTTAAAAAAAATTTTTTTGTAGAGATGGGGTCTTGCTATGTTGCTCAGGCTGGTCTCAAACTCCAGGCCTCGAGCGATCCTCCTCCTCCTGCCTCAGCCTCCCAAAGTGCTGGGATCATCGGCATGAGTCACTGTGCCCAGCCTATTTAGTCAATTTAAAAAAAAATAGGATCGTCTGTCTTCTTCTTGAGTTATGAGAGTTCTTTATCTAGTCTAGAAATTTACTTTTTCTCCCAGTTTGAGGTGCTCCTTTACGTTTTCTTTCTTCTTTCTTTTTTTTGTAGAGACGGGGGGGGTCTCCCCCTATGTTGCCCAGGCTGGTCTCGAACTCCTGGGGACTCAGGTGATCCCACCTTGGCCTCTCGAAGTGCTGCTGGGATTCCAGGTGTGAACGGCCGCGCCTAGCCTATGCTTCCTTAAAGGTGTTCTTAAAAGACCAAAAGTTTTTAATTGAGGTGAAGTCCGGTCTTTTGTTTTTTTCTTATTGTCCTAGGAAATCTTTTTCTGCCTTAAAATCACAGCTATTTTCTCTTACGTTTTCTTCTAGAAGTTTTGTACTTTCAGCTCTTAAGTTTGGGTTGATGATCTATTATTGCGAATGGTGTGAGCAAAGGATCAATTTTAATTTTCTCCCATGTAGACGTCTGGTTGTTCTGGCACCATCTGTTGAAAAGACCACCTTGTGGCCGGGCACGGTGGCTCACGCCTGTGATCCCAGCACTCTGGGAGGCCGAGGCGGGAGGATCGCTCAAGGCCAGGAGTTCGAGACCAGCCTGGGCAACATAGCAAGACCCCATCTCTACTAAAAAAAATAGAAATTATCTGGAAAACTAAAAATATATAGAAAAAATTAGCTGGGCATGGTGGCACATGCCTGTAGTCCCAGCTATTCGGGAGGCTGAGGTGGGAAGATTGTTTGAACCCAGAAGTTGGAGGTTGCTGTGAGCAAGGCAGATGCCATGGCACTCCAGCCTGGGCGACAGAGTGAGACTCTGTCTCAAAAAGAAAAGAAAAAAAAAAAGAACAGAATCCCTGGTCTCCGCTGCTGATCAGACTTAGAGTTCTTAGCCCTCGGCCTCTCCCACCTCCTGCTGGTTTTAGCCCGAGGATTTTCCGTGCGACCTCACGCGTTCCCACGTGGGGTTAAAGGGTGTCTGAGTGACATCCTCCCGCCTTTCCGTGTGCTCCGTCACAAGGAGGCGTGTTCAGGCCACTGAGTCCGCGGTGTCGCTGGGGACAGACGTGTCCCCCTCGCCTCTCTGCCTCCCGGGCCCCCGCCCAGGCCCGGGTGCGCCCCACACAGAGGGACGGCGTGCGGGAGGCCGTGGGTCCGGCGCAGGGACCTCGCCCGCGCGGCCTTCCGTCCTCTGGCCTCAGTTTCCCCTCCTGCAAGGTCAGACTCCCCAGCCCCTGGGTTTCCCTCACTTCCGTTTTCCTCGACGCCGGGTCTAGTCCTGCGTGGCCTTCCGCTGTCTTGGGCCTCCCGCCGGGTCATCGGCCTGGACGAGAACCGGGGGGAGGGTGCTCAGGGACAAGGGGAGACCCTGCCTCGGTTTCCCAGAGTCCGGGGGCTGCCGGCCGTGACGCGCCTCCCGGTGGGCCGAGTCCCTGGCAGGTGAGTAACCGGATGTCACATGGGCACGGATAACACCCACTGGGCCTCCTCCAAAATCTGCCTCCCGGCTCTGGCTCTCGCCGCGCCCCCACTTCCTCCGCGACGTCTTGGGCAGAGGGACGGGCTGCCCCGCGGACGCGGAGGCCAGCGGTCGGCCGGTGGTGGCTGCCTGCATCTCGGCGCGGAGATGGTGTCACCACGTTCAGGGTGCTGGGATTGATTAACGATGCCTGCACGGGCCGGGCCGGGCGGTGATGGCACGTGTGCCGTTTGCGGTCTCTGGGGCGGCCGCTCGCGCCGGGCCACGCTTTTGCCTTGGGGAGCCCCCGGGACCCGAGACAAGGACCGCAGGACGGGGATGCAGGGAATCCAGCGACTCTCGTCTGACGAGGCCCCTGTCACCACGCCTGGTTTGCAGACGGCTCAGCCCCTGCGAGCCCGGCTGGCCGCGGCCCGGAGGTGGCACCCAGGGGGAGGTCACCCCCGTCCCAGCCCCCACCGGGTCCCGCCCAGCGGCTGGGGGCGCCCGCCTGCGGGGACAGAGGTGGGACTTCCCTCCCGTCGCCTGCGATCCTCGTCTGTCCCTGCGTCCGGGAGGGGCGGAGGGGACGGTGGTCGGACCCCCCCGGGACCCCCGACAGACACGGGGCCTGGACTCTCACGGGGGGCGGCTGACGCACACGGGGGGTCGATTCAGACCCGTCTCTGGGGGACGAACGTGTGATTCGAAAGCCGTCTTGGAAAGACACCAAAGACAAAACGCAGCCTCGACACATTTGGACCGAGAAAGCTCACGGCGCAGCGGAGCGCGGTGGGCGCTGGCGCTCGGCCGCCCCTCGGGGACCGTGGCGCACCTGGGGGCGGCTGTCTCGGGCCCCCCGATGCCGCCCGGGATCCTTCAGGCCTGGGGGGTTGGGGACGGGTGTCTGACCCCCCGAAGGGCGCCGTGCTGGGCTGCGGGGGAGGCCGCAGGGGCTCCGACTGTCTGCTGTGGCCTCCTCGTCCCCGTCCTCTCGCTCCGGCCTCCCTGCCTCCTCCGCCCCATCGCCCTGTCTCCTGTCTCTGTCCCCGTCCCCTCCTTTTCCACCTGGGCCACAATCCGAGTCCCCCGCCCCCCCCCCGGGGAAGGGCGCAGTCGGTCCTGCCCGAGACCTCCCCGGGGCTGCGTCCTCCAGCGAGCCTGGCCCCCTGGGGAGGGGCACTCGTGTCCTCGGGGGTGGCAGGTTCGGGTGACCCAACTGCCCCGGAGAAGCTCTGGGTCGAGGGAACCGAGTCTCGGAGGGCTCAGCGGGGACTGGGCTGTCACCGGAGGCAGCTCGTTTATTGGGAGACGGGGGCTGGGCTGGGCGGGAGGCGCAGGCCGGTGGCCCCCGGGTGGGGTCACTTCTTGGGGGGCTGCTTCCTCCAGCTGGAGAGCTTCCTGCTGCCCCTGCGGGTCGTGCCGAGGGCAAGCAGCTCCTCTGCCGGCTCCTTCGCCCTGAACGCCGAACACCAGAAACCGACGCTGGGGGGGCGGCTGGCCGAGCGGGCGCGGCCCGTGCTGGGGGGGGTTCCCGGGGGCACCCGCGACCTCCGACCCGCTCCCAGTCTGGCTTTTCCATCTTCGCCAGATGGGACGTGTTTTCCTGCCTGGCAGGGCGCGGTCTGTCTCCGTGACGACCCGCAGGTCGGCGACCTTGCCGGGCGCAGCGAGGGTGCGCAGGGACGTGGCGGGGCGGCCCCCCCCCGCTCAGACCGACCCGTCTGGCCGTGGGGTCTCGGTACAAGGCCCACGAAAGGCCTCAATCGCCGCCACCCCCACCCCCGGGACGCTGCGTGGAGAAAACAGGTGTCTGGGGGGGTGCGGAGGACCCGTGCCTCGCGCAGAAGTGACCTGCCCAAGGCCACATGGCCCCGAGGTGGCCATCACGGCCGGTGGGGGGAGCCAGGGCCCCGCTCTGTGCCGCGCCCGTCCTGCCGCCCCGGCGGTGCGGCCACCTACTTCTTCTCGGCTTCGGGAGAAGGCTCCTTCTCCACCCTGTCGCCCGGCGCCAACGAGAAGCTTCCTTGGGTGTCTTTCGGCACGGCGAGGGCCTTGGGCGCGGCACCGTCGTCCCGGCTGGGCACGGAGCTCGGCGCGCTGCGGGGGGCGGGCAGAGCTCAGCGGACAGAGCTGGCGGGACCCCCTCGGGTTCCGGCTCCACCCGAGGGTGGTGAGGGGACAGCCTGACCCCCTGGGGGACCCGGTGACCCGCCGGAGGCCGGTTTCTGTTCAGGACGGGACCCGCCCTCCCCTACCGCCTCACCTGAACTTGTAGCCGTCGGGCAGGAAGTGGCCCATGGCGCAGTCCCGCCGGGCCCGGGAGATCTGCTTGAGCAGGTTCTGCCGGCTGAAGCCGTAGCCGTTCAGGACGAAGCCCCCGAAGAGCAGCTTCCCTGCCGCGAACATCTGCGGGCGGGCGGAGGGGACAGAGTCGCAGCGGCCCCGCCGCGCAGGAGACGGGCGGGCTCAGGACGCAGGGCTCGGGTGGTGGGGACAGAGGACGTCCGTCCCCTCCGGGTGTGGTGTAGCCAAGCCAGGCCCTGCCCAGGCCCCGCGTCACAGCAGCCACGGCACCCGGCCTCTGCCCACAGCAAACGCCACGGCACACACAGCCCCCGACCGCCGGGCCTGAAAGGCGCCCCCCACTCGGCTCCGCCTGCACCTGAGGTCAGAGCCCCCGCACCCGATCCCAGTCTGCACGCGGGCGCAGGTCCGGAGATCGCTGCGCACAGACTCATCGCGGCATCGGCTGCTACGACGAAAGCAAGGAGCCTCTGCGCCCAACAAAAGCAGCACAGAGGCCGGCGCGGTGGCTCA